CCCCAAAACCCCAAAACCCCAAAACCCCAAAACCCCAAAACCCCAAAACCCCTTCAACAGTTCCAAAATTGATCTTAAATATTATAAATCAACTATTCAGAAGTGATTATTCTTAGCTTATTGTCGAAATAGCATCCGTCAGCATATTCTACAGCTTTAGAGTTAAAGATGTTGTTGAAGTGTGTCTTTTTCACTGGGAATTTTTCAGAGATTTCTGTAAAAACTCCGATATTTATGTAGAAGTCGCGGAGAAAATGGTTGAAATCAAGTTGACTGAGTTTACGGATTTTGGACTGCTTGACAAGATCTGAAATATCTCCTACAGCATTACTAAGAGTCTCTGCATCTCATTTAAACCCTGCTAGAGGGATTAGAAAAGCATCGTGGTGATCAGGAACTTTCTCTATCGGTTTAATACAGACTCTTTTTGTATCATGAGAGTAATAACAACATTCCGGTGAATATTGGTAGTAAGACTTCTTGGGAGCTTTAGAATCATGAGTTTTAAGTATGATCCCAAATGACTTCTTCCCTTGGTCACAGAACCTAAACAAGTCGAAAGTATTTGAAGTTTTCATAAACTTGTCTTTAACAATATGAGCAGATTTCCAAGGTTTGGTTTGTATGGTCTTTCCAATATCTTCTTTATTCTGAATTTGTTCATTTATAAACCTGCACCAATCAGTGATATCTTCTCTTGCTTCAAAATGGTATGATTTCTTTCCTATCTATAAAGCAAGTATGAATTTCCCAATCGTTCACCAATTAATCTGAAAAGGTTTGAAGGATTCTTCAAAATATTTCGCTTTAATTAAACCTTACCTGGATCCTAAATTTTTGAGAAGTGGTTTGGATAACTTGGAACTTTTCGCAGGCGAAAAGGAACTGTCTATCTGGAGAGTCCTCTTCAAAGTCAAGTCCTTTCCTGTATTGATATAGGCTGATCCCTTCGTTATTGATAGTGATGTGGAACCTCTTCTTCACCTGAAATAAGCCAGCTCTTTTTCTGATCCGTCTTATTTCACCTTCGAAAAGATTTACTCTGTTTCGATTCAAAGTCTTGAATACGATTGTACGTTCTGAGTATTTATTGTTCAGATTGAACGGAATTTCGATACGAGGTTTATAAACTTTATCATTCCAGCTTTCACTGTCTTCTGGGAGAGGTGTTAACTCCATTTCTCCAGGCTGTCAGCAAGCTTTGATAGGGGGCAAGCCTAACTCTTCCTAAAGAGGCATTAGTTGGTGATTATTAGAATATTTATCAAAATGAATGATTTCTTACTTCTTCTGAATTCGTTTCTATAAATGATTTGAGTAAATCTGAACTGAACCATGGCTTCCTTCTGATTATTTCAGTCCTGTATGGTCTAATGATATTAATATCGAATTGAAAAATTTTCACATCTTGGATGTCTGGTTCGTCCATATCACTGAGATTGCTTTTCTCTGAAGGCTCCATATTATCAAGAGATTTAGCACTTCGATTGAGTTCTAGTTCTTTTTGAATTTTTCTTGTGATTTTTGGGCGATCCTCATCAGGATAAATTATTTTATGCTCGTGTACTTTAGCCATACTGTTAGAAATTAGATGATATACAATATGAAAATTTATAAATGGGGTTTTGGGGTTTTGGGGTTTTGGGGTTTTGGGG